AATAAAATGAGGCCCTCCTTCTACAGAACGACGCTGATACTGACCTGGGTACAGTATACATAAGGGAATACCTCGACAGAGTATTACGAGACAGGAGTATTTCTTTGGTAACAAAGAAAGGAGTACTGAGCTGCTACGTGACATCTACCTTCCTTTACGGCAGAAAATGTTGGATGGTCTCCTCAAAGATAAAGAAGAGACTCGAGGCAATGGAGGTATTGTTCTACAGAAGGATGTTAAGGATATCATGGATCTAGCGTGTGTGTAACGATGAGGTTTTGGAGAGGATGCAAACAAGGAGGAAGCTTATACTTAACATCAGGAAGAGGCAGCTGATATTTCTGAGACAAGTAATGAGAAAAGAGTGCTTGGAAAATCTGATACTCACAAGGCGAATAAAGGGAAAGAGAGACAAGGGAAACCAATACATGACATAACTGGCGGGCTTAAGCAAGTGGATGACAGAACAGGGCCTGGAGGAAGTAGCAAAAGGACAAAACTTATTGAGTACAAGGGACACGGCACATAAAAATTAAAGGTTAACTGGTCAAATTTTCTAAATCTTCGGACATCTTGTGATATGACAGACATATCAGTGCACCGTCTGTGTTAGTCTTAGATCAGTGCTATGCAAAGTGTGGTACGTGTAATGGTGTCGGGAGGCGAGTCATCGCCTGTCGGTACGCGGAGAGTTCTCAGGAAACAAAGAAACAGTAGTCACATTCCACGCCACGTTGCACTGCCGGGATATCTGACTCGATTTCTCTTTTTAACATTTTCCTTTTAGCTTTATATTTATTATGGTTACATTTTCCAATTACTCAGTCATGTTATAAAAAACATTGCTATATGACTAACGAATGCGTTGTTATAATGAATAGCAAAACAGTGAAGTAAAATACGTATGACAACCACATATTGATGATACAGCGTGTGGCTGTGTGGAAAAACACACCTAGGAATACCAAAGGGCCTGTTTCATGGATATATATTTCTACAAAATCAATATAAAAAAAAAAAAAAATATGATGCAACTTTTATTGTATTCATTATATTTTTCTGATATAAATGAATAATATTACGAATGTTTAAATAATATTTTCACGGATCGTTAATATATAATTATATGTCACAAATATAGCACCTGTCCCTGGCACACTCGGAAGATTTACGTCAATAACGATGACTGTCCTTAGAATGAATAAGGCCTCATGTTTTCATGTTTAATACAGATAATCTCAAAATGACACTGAAATAAGACGTACTAGCAGCCATAGCCAACTGGTCGATCAGAAAAAGCGTTCAATTAGAATGAAGCAAATATAGCATCATGTTTAGATGTAACAGAGTCCATCTTCTTCAATTACTTTAAAGTAATTTCATTAAAAAAATATTTTGAATTAATGCAGAAGTAGTCTGTATTTATTCAATCGAAGTTAGCCGAGGACATGAAGGAGTAAAACAGGCAACATGAAGATCCACTTCAGACCACAATTACTTTGGAGTTTAAGAAATTCAAAATGTCAATGTGCTACCAGGGATGCATAAGAGGATACGTTTATAAAGCAATTGTTAAGTTTGATGAAAATTGGTTGAAAGATCAACGAAAAATAAGAAAGAAACCAGGAGAAATCGTAATTTTTCGTTATTTACGCGGGTTTTCACTAAATGGGTGGAATCAATTATCAGGTTAAATGACTGTTAAACAATCAGCTTATTATTGGTTACAATTTAGTGAAGTTTGTATTAGATTGCTTGATAATTGAGGGAGTTTTTAGTTTAAAATTTGTGTTGAAATCGATTTTTCGTTTTCCGCGGTTTTTCGCTAAACGCAGAAAATAAAAAATGAAAAAAAACGTAGAAATAGAAATGAGGTATCGTTGGGCTCGTCATGATGTAAGTAACCTACATAACGAGTTTGAACGAAATCGGAGGAAAAAAGTTGAATTTATCGATTTTTGATCGGTTTTATCGATTATTAATTTTTTTTTAAATTGTCAATTTTTTACACTAACAACCTATCTCTTACATTGTACAATGTATGTGCCAAGTTTGGTCGAAATCGGTTGGATGAATCTCGAGTGAAAAGGTACCACACAGACAGACAGACACACAGGCATCCTCTGTTTTATATATATATATATAACAAAAAAATCACATGATTGGGAAAGCTTCTCTTGTCGGTACATTGCAAAAAAATCGCGGGTGCGCCACATCAGATAGTTTTAGAATCATCTTGTAACATAGTAACACACATATCACATATCATTGCACCATCTGTGTTAGTTTTAGAGGGAAGGTGTAATGAAATTGTCGTGTTACCGGCTTAATGTGCGGACAATATTTACATTATTCGGACTATTGTCCTCGTCTTTGTCGGCATATTTATTCCAACGTTTCGGCCGTTGTACGCTCTGGCCTTCTTCAGGTGGTTGGAATGTCGAACTGAACCCTTTATTTCGCTCACTGGGGTAGACTGTTCTAGTTCTACGTGCCACGTCTAATGGATGTCAGTTATCAGTTATCTCCTGTTAATTTCCCTCTGAAAGTTCTCCACTGCGTTCGTCGGGTATTGAACTCACACTCTTTGAGTCCTGTCACTGGATCTAACTAACGCCTTTGTCCACTGTGCCTTGCTCGGACTTGAATATTTTATATTTAACATTATTCAATCATTAAAGCTCATTGAATTCTGAATCAGATGGACTCCAATGATTACATACATTGTGACCAAATCGATATTGTCAATAATATTGTCACAACGGCCCCAATGACATAGGTGGCGTAGTTATGTATTTATGGCTAGACAACATTGTCGATATTAATATCGGATAGGCTTCAAGTACATTACAAGAATATGTAAATTGCTCAAGACTAAATTAATATTAGATTATTATCCCACTTACTATGTGATGATGATATTGGGACCAAGGTACAACGTTCTCTAATTATGTCATTTATGAAGCAAGTTTAAGATGTCGTGTTTAATGCTTTGTTACCAAATTCATTTGTGCAGTGTTTTTGCCAGACAGGCTCAAAGATATGGTATGCGCCTTGAAAATGTTGTTGTCCAATTGGAAGTGTTGATATGCAATGTTAGGTTAACTTCTGTGATCAGATTTGTTTATTAAATTCTCATTTCGTTTTTTCCTTTAATTCTTTCATTCTCAATCATAGAATCTAAGGCATGAACGCTGAGATGAAAGTGAATAAATAGCTTTTCATAAGTTAATATTGAAAATAATTAATCTAAGAATTGAGCTCTTAAAATCTAAGTAGTAAATTGTACCATCTGGAATCATTTCTTAGACAAATACCACCGACTGCTTTCTGGCTTGAAGTAATCGTAGCTTAAAGGTCATAGTTTTTCTTCGATGTTTACTTCAAGAAAATGCAACTTTTACATTCAATTCAGATGACAAAAACACGACGCCATTTCTCAACTCACATTAACTTTTAACGTCTACATTCGCTTGGGGATTTTGTCCTTTTCTCTCCCAAATTTTGGTTACTTTTTGTTTTCTCCATTCTTTATATTCTTTGTTTCTTTTCGTTTTTATTCCATTTTTTTTTTTTTGATTTCCTTTTTTTTTCTTGGCGCTTTTTAAAAAACTTTTTAACTCTTCTTCTTTCCTCTATCTCTTTCGTTCTTTCATTAATTCTTTCTTTCGTTTTCGTATTTCAAAATATTCTTTCATTTTCTTAATTATTCTTGCCATCTCTTTCTTTCCCTTTTTCAACCTTTTATACTTATTTTCCACTTCTGCCTTTTTTTTTTCAGTTCTCTGTGTCTTCTTTTCGATTCCTTCTTTGACTCTTTATTTTATTTTGTGTTTTATTATTCTCTTCTGTGTTCTTATCATCCATTCCTTCTTTTCTCTTGAAATCTTTGAACAAATTTTCTAAGCGATTTTGTCTTTTTCTGCTCTTCTTTATTTAATTCTTTCTTTTCTTCCAACAACCTCTCAATTTTCTTTCCAATTTTCTTTCTTTTCATTCTATTTCTTTGTTTCTTTCTTTGTTTCTTTGTTTCTTTCTTTCTTTTTTCTTTCTTTCTTTCCTTCCCTTCTTCGTTCCTTCCTTCTTTCTTTTCACACACCTGTGATTTCTTTCTAATCTTTCTTCTTTTTCATTTAATTCCTCTTTCTTTCTTTCTTTCTTTCTTTTCTTTCTTTCTTTTCTTTCTTTCTTTCTTTCACCCACATGCCTTTTCTTTTTAATCTTTTTTCATTCAATTATTTCTTTATTTCTTTCTTCCACTCACCTGTCTTTTCCAATTTTCCTCCTTTTCTTTCTTTCTTTCTTTCTTTCTTTCTTTCTTTCTTTCTTTCTTTCTTTCCCCCTTACTTCGTTTCTTCCTTCTTTTCCCTCACCCCTCTTTTCTTTCTCATCTTTCTTTCTTTTTTCCACTCACTCGTTTCTTTCCATATCTTTCTTCTTTCTCATTTTCTTTATTGCTTTGATCTTCCTTTTCTTTTTTTTTCCTCATTTCCGCAATGTCAACAAGAGGCGAAAATCTTATCAGAGATTCGTAAAAAGACATAGAAAATGGACGCTGGTGACCTATTGTGAAGTCAAATGTCTCCAACCCAGACCTTCTTCTTCTTCATCTTGTCACAACAGTGAAATAGCTCTGTACACAGTACGTCTACCGAGGTCGTTTCCATTTCCTGCCAACTTTCGGATGACACAATGGTTTCGGTGATGGGACAAGGAAAAGACAAGTCGACCGGCACTTGATTCGTTACTTGTTTACGTCGATTTCATGTGTCTATAGGCTGACGCATTTGTCTCCCTTTGTTGCTAGCTTTTCTTCTTTCAACACTTCTCGTGTCATTCTTTAGATGGAGCAATTGATTTTCAGTGTCTTACTTCCGTTGGATTACTATTTTCCCTTTTGAATTTTACACCCCCCCCTTTTCGTACTTTGCTTATCATTTTATAATGTTTGGTTGTTCCTTTCTTTTTTTACTTGCTTTAACTTTTTTTTCTCTCTAATTTTAGGTTTCCTTTCTTTCTCCGTTTACTTTTTCTTTCGCGTTTTCCTTCTCCATTTTTCTTCTTCCTTCGATCTTTTTCGCATCTCCACTTATATAGGAAATGTTGATTGTGTACTTGATGGTTTCAAACGCGTAATAGAAAAAGGAAAGAGAGAAAGAATAAAGTAATAAACAAAAATGGCAGAAAAGAAAGAAAAAGAGTCGCTTGAGTAACGCGTGGGTAAAATTGATTGAAACACGCATGGCTAAACAAATATACTATCAGAAAAGGACAGCGATAGAAAGCGATGTCGTTAAAATGAATTAGAAGGAAAAAGATTCACAGAGAGGAAGAAAAAGGCTGGAAGAGATTGAATTGTCTTGATACATAGATAATGAACAGACTGAGATAGATAGATAGAGAGATAGATAGATAGATAGATAGATAGATAGATAGATAGATAATGAACAAACTGAGATAGATTGATATTGAACAGACTGAGAAAGTTAAGGGACAGTCATAGATAGATAGATAGATAGATAGATAGATAGATAGATAGATAGATAGATAGATTTCGAACAAATTAAGATAGATAGGTAATGAACAAACTGAGATAAATATATAGATAATGAAGAGACTGAGATAGATAGATAGATAGATAGATAGATAGATAGATAGATAATGAAAAGACTGAGATAAATATATAGATAATGAAGAGACTGAGATAGATAGATAGATAGATGATAATAGATAGATAGATAGATAGATAGATAGATAGATAGATAATGAACAGATTGAGATAAATATATAGATAATGAAGAGACAGGAGATGAGATAGATAGATGATAGATAGATAGATAGATAGATAGATAGATAGATAGATAATGAAGAGACTGAGATAGATAGATAGATAGATAGATAGATAATGAACAGACTGAGATAAATATATAGATAATGAAGAGACTGAGATAGATAGATAGATAGATAGATAGATAGATAGATAGATAGATAGATAATAATGAAGATAGATAGATAGATAGATAGATAGATAGATAGATAGATAGATAGATAGATAGATAATGAACAGACTGAGATAAATATATAGATAATGAAGAGACTGAGATAGATAGATAGATAGATAGATAGATATGAACCGATTTGGATAAATAGATAGACAGATAATGAACAAACTGAGACATATATGTAGATAGCAGGGAGAGAAGAATAAATATACACGCTATCAGATACTTTCAGGTGAATGTTATTTTAAATAAAAATTGATAATATAATGATCCTGATAATATTTATAAAATTCTATTTTTAATACTTTTACTTACAATATCTATATTTATGATAAATATTTGTCAATTGTTTTCTGTGTTCCCTGGTTTTATTATTGAAAGCGTGACATCAAATTTTATTTATAAATATATCCAAAAGAAATAGGCAACAGAAATATTCGATTAGCACAATACTGGATTTGCAAGGCTGACAGAAGTTAAATGTGCAGGGCAGTTTTTTCTCATTTGACTCCATCTTTCAAATCTACAATTCATCCTTGCCTTGAATACTGTGTGGTACCCCAGCTCTTCATCTCGACAAAATCCAAAGACAGATATGCAGTGTGATAGGTCCTGATCTGGCATCTCGTCTACAGTCACTTTCTCACAGACGGCTTCCCTCGGTCTTTTCTACAAATATTTTCATGGTAACTACTCTGACAAGATTTTTCCCTCTTTCCCGACTACATGATTTCAAGTGTGCTACTCGATTGGTAGCCAGTTTATAATCGTTTACTATTTACCCGTTTACTATTTACCCGGTAACTATTTAAACTGCATAAATTTAAGCGTGCTACTAGGTTGGCATCTCGGTCCCACCCTTTCACTGAGGAAACAGTTAAATGTATCCGTCACATCTACTCCATAGTTTTTCTCTCGAAATTCCCGACTGTGGAATCCCTTTTCTCTTACTTGCTTCCCTGATAGCTATAATCTTCAAATATTCAAGTGTAATGTCAATCGGCATCTTCTCCCCGTCCTTCTCTATATCCTTTCCTCAAACACTCCTCTTTACTCTTGCTCTCACTCTCTGTAATCGCTTGCGTGCTCGTGGGACTCCCGCCTTCCTTGGGGTGAAATACTTATAAGAAAAAAAAAACACTCCAGCCGTGGTTGACAGTCAGTATAGTCGAAACTGTATATAGCCTTGACTGACGGACATGTTGAGAGTGTCAAATATTTTTGGTATAATTGTTTGGAAACAGAGAACATAAAACGCAATGAGTTTGAAGGTTTGAAGAAATATGATTATACTTATTTATTTCATTTAGATTAGAGTGAGTCCTTTGATATTTAGTGTAACGAAATGTTCGTTTATAAGCTAGATCTTGCTAGCAGTCGGTAGATGTCAGTTTAGAAATCAAATTTTGGTAGCAGCTGTCCTCTTAGAAATAAGTGTCAATCTGCTTTTTTCGGTCCTAACAAGGGCAGAATATATCTTAGCCGATGGCTGCTTAATTTATTCAGTCGACTAGTTTCTCCATCAATATCTTCTCTTTACCTGCCTCATATATTTTTGACCAGGTTCCCAGACTACTGGCGGGAACCTTGGTTTCAACTAACATCAAAGTTTTTTTTATATTAATTTTTTGATTAGTCAAACTACTACTGTATGTCTTGAAGATTGAGAGCTGCTTTTTAAAGCTCCCATGAAATAAAAATTATTACCTATGGGATTTTAAGTGTTTGAGATTATTTAATTATATATATATATATAAAATATATATATATATATATATATATATATATATATATATATATATATAATATACATTACAAACCCAGTGACCTTACATTCAGACCTAAACCCCAGTGAACTTACATTCAGACCCATAGTAGCAGGACCAGCCTGTCCAACTAACAGACTCAGTAACTTAATAGACACAATGCTACAACCATTTACTAAGCATATTAAGAGCTACATCAGAGACAATATACACTTCCTTAGCTCCATACCCTAAAATGTTGATCCGGGAACACTTATGGCAACTTTTGACATCAGAAGCCTATGTGTTGCGATACAAATGCATGCCCCATGAATTAGGCAAACAGGCAATCTCATTCTGGATTGAAAACCATCCATAAACACTACATCCCAGATTTACTAAGGAATTCATTATCGATAGCATAGATCTGATTCTAAACAATAAGACTTTTTGAATTTGACAACAAAAACTATATCTAAACCCTAGGTACCACAATGGGAACAAAAATGGCACCAACATATGCCATCCTAACATTAGCTTACCTCGAGGAAAACCTGTATGAAAAGATAGAACAAATATATGGGAAAAATATAAAAACCCACTTCACTAAATCGAAGAAACGATACTTAGATGATTGCTTCATTTTCTGGAAATCCTCCTGGGGTGATATAAACCAATTCCGCACATTACTTCAGAACTTACATCCCAAAATTAAATTCACGGAAGAATATAATTTTAACGGATTACCATTTTTAGATATGCTCATTAGAAATAGAAACACCCACATAATCACAGATATCTACCATAAATCTACAGACAACCAACAATATCTTCATTTCAAGAGCCGTCGCCAAAAACCTGCCTGAAATCCATCCCCTATTCCCTAGCACGATGTGTTTGCACTATAATGACTGACAAACACCTCAGAAAAACCTACCAAGAAGAACTATATAGAACTCTAAAAAAACGAGGCTATTACACAACACTAATAAAGTTTTGAACTAGCAGAAAAAACACCTCTGGACCAACTACGAAATTCAAAAACAAGTAACGTCGAACAAACTCTAGCATATGTCTCAACATATAATAAGAACGATCCAGAACTATTTACAGAAATTACAAGAAATCTGGACCTAATTATCAAGAATCACAAAATGAAAAATATACTAAAAACAACCAAATTAATTAAAAGCAAATGCCAATCTAAAAACCTGAAACATATTAACCGCATCCAAATGTAACCAACACAATATACAGAGGGTCACAAAATGCAACAAAAAAAAAAGATTTGTGATGTCATTATAGAAAGGAACTCCTAAATTTTTGAAAACCCCACAACTACATTCACAATAAATAAAAAATTAAACTGCAACTCTAAAAATGTGATCTATGCACGCAAATGCACAAAATGCAAGAAGTCATATATAGACATCAGCCAAGCATTTAACAACAAAGTTGCCCTTCACAAAAGCAACATCAGCCAGAAAACTCTTTGTATCGCAACACATCTACGAATGCAATCAAGGCAAATTTAAAATTATGCAAATCTACCAAAGACAAAACTATTTATTCTTACAAATTCAAGAAAAAACTTCATAGACAAATTTAAACCAGCACTAAACAGAACATAACCCCACACACATAGACACAAGTCATGCACATATGATGACCAGATACACTGATCGGACCGCACACATACACGTACGCACGCACAATCAAGTATCCATGGAGAACAAAATATATATACATACACTGACAAAAACAGACTACTCACGGGCACACACACGAACCCTACGCAACACACAGAGTATGTGTGTGTTATGTATGTGCACACACACACACATACACACACACGCATACACGCACACACATGCATATATATATATATGTGTATGCTGATTCATGTGCAAGCTACCAGGGACATGCACGCACACAATACAGAAAAATGGAAATAGATTTGACAGTCTCAGGAGTGATGTAGGGGCATCTATCATCAACACATCTGTCATCGACACCACTAAGACCACTATTACAGGTATATGGCGACAAAGATGAGGACAATAGTCCGAATAATGTAAATAGTGTACATAATACCTCATCTCAGAAATATAGACAGATACTGAAGGATAAATAAACTACATCCAATTTCAGAATTTAATTACGCAATCCCAACTCACCATAAACAAACAGTATTTGGAACTAGTATAGAGTAGGTCTTCCATTTGCTAGTTTCGGTACTTGTTTTTGATTTTT